TTCTCCGGGGAAACTGGAAGGTGCCCAACAGAGTCCAGAGTCCAGGATGCTGTGCCCACCTGAGGTTTGGTGTTACCTTTTTCCACACTCTTCTCAGCTGTTTTCTCTCCTTCAACAAAAACAAAATGTTAAGTAAGAGAAGTAACAGGAATGACTATTAGTCCACAAACTTGATTGCACGTAAATCCGTTATAGCTTTGTACTCTTTCACTACACTCTCACACTGAGCCCTCTACGCTCAGTCCTGTGGAACATCCAGTCCCAAAGTCCCCTTATGGCTGTACTCCTTAGGGCTATGCAAAGGGCACTGGAGATGCTGACACTACACAAAATATTTGGCAAGGCCCCTGCAGCCTTGTAACTGGTTGTTATTGCATGGCACACGTCACATGATCCCTTCGACTCCAGCCTCTCTGAGTCTTTTGACCGTAGACGAGACTGGGAGCCTCAGTCCCCTGTAGCCACAATATCTATCCTCCTATGTGTCTTATACCCTCTCAAAGTCTTAGCAGCTCCCCAGAGACATTATCAGGGAAAGGACGGGGCCCCTACACTTAAGAAGATACTCTGACCACTGAGAGAAAGGTATTTCCCCCCTCTCCTCTCCTACCACTTTCTCTTCCACAGTCCTACCCTCTCTTGCTCTGCCCTTCAAGATACTGTGTATGGGGCTGGGGATTTAGCTCAGCGGCAAAAGCGCCTGTCTGGTAAGCGCAAGGTCGTGAGTTCGGTTCCTGGTACCGGAGAAAAACAAAAAAAAAAAAAAAAAGATACTGTGTATGGCATCTACAATGAGTAGATTAGGGTAGTGACCCCAAACCAGAAGCTGGTGGGACAAATAACCCGGCAGATACCATTTATTTGACCTATTCAGCATTTAAAATTATTAAAATAAGGTGTCACATTGGGAAATGATATTTAAAATATGAATTTTGGCTTTCCTCCAAAACTCAGAAAATATGAAAAGCCAGACCTTATTGATAGAATCTTAGCTGTCCATTCAGTCAGCAAATATTTTCTGAGCGGTGTTATGTGCCAAATGAGCATCTTGGAGGTCCTGGAGCTCTAATGGTCAACAAGATAGATAAAGTTCTTATTTTCTTGAAGTTCACCTTCCAGAAGCAGGCGTTTCTGCAGAATGCTGGGAGATGCTGTACCACATGGAAACCAGTAATAAACAAAGTAATAAAAAACCCTTTCAGAGGATGATGAAGAATGGGAAACAGTATAGCAGACAGAGGAGGGAAAGAGAGAGACAGTACTGTTTAGACTGAGCACTCAGAGAAGCTTCTCCAAGGAGGTGGTATTTGAGCTGAGGTCTCAGTGACTAAGTGGAGCCTGGAGCATAAGGATGTATGAGAAGGGTTTGCCAGGCAGGGTGATCACCAGTGTCAGAAACCATAGCATGGATACGAGCTCAACTCCTGGGAGCAATGGACAATAGGCTAGTAGGGCCATTTGACTAACTTCAGAGTTGAGGTTTGGGACTTAGATTCAAGGTGGAAAAGAGAACTCAGGGGAAAATGTTACTACAGGAGATGAGCAAGTCCTGGAGCGAAGCAGCAGACTGGGGACTAAGGAGAGAGATGACCCGCCACCCCCCCAGCATGGCCAAGGACTCCAAGCACTGGTGACTGATCTGCAGCATTAAGCTTCCCTTTTCTGGCTTATGCATTTCTCATGGTTGCATCAGGTCCTCAATAAAGTGTATGAGATAACTTCAGGCTCAGTGTGAAGGTCCAGGTCTTGTCCAGGAAACTACAGCAAAGGGAACGCTAGAGAAGTGGTTAGAACAAGGCCAGAGCTGGCCTACATAGCCGTCCAAGTCAGTCCCAACTGCAGGAAAGCAAGGTGGCATGTGGAACATGTGAGCACTCCTTGGGGACTTTCTCAAAGACCCAGGAAGAGGCAGGGTTCCCGAGCCTCGTGTGGGCACCTCAGACCCCAACTCTAAATAGTAAGTGTGGCCGCGAGTGCTGGCATCTGCAGAGCCTCTGGAAGGAGAAGTAGAGCCAAACGAACAGGTGGAATTTAAGTTATATTTGGAAGACTGCAATTGGATCTCTAAACAAAAGACAAAGGTTTCTTTCAAGAACTTCCTTTGCTAAGTTATTTCAAAGCTGTAACAACCAAGTTCCTGGAAACTCTGACCAGCATGGCCACGTGTCCCCTCTCTGACTTGGCAGCGTCGGTCTTCCTGGAGTTTTCGGGAAGGAAGGTCCTCCACATCGAGCTTGCTTAGATGACGGGACACAGCTTCCCTGACTCAAGGCCAAGGGTGGCACTCAAGTGAGGGACAGGGGAGCTCACTCAAGCCAATTCCTGCAGAGGCCGGGCACAGAAATAGGGAGGGGCAGGATGACTTTCCAGCCCACCACAACATCGTTTATTCATTCATTTCACAGGCGCTGTTCTGATAAAATTGATTCCTGTTCTCATGGAGTTTTCATTCTGATGAAATGACAGCTGACAAATAACAGTTAATAAAAGGTAAAATGCAGTAAAGTTAATCACGTAATATGGTAGAAAGTGATGCATGCTTTAGAAAGAAAATATAGAACAAGATAAGGGAGATTAAGCTATTTAGAAGGTCAATTGCACTTATAATAGCAGGTCAGAGTAAGGTAACATTTGATTAACATTTTGATCGAGGAAACATTCAAAGCAAAGGCCCTGAGATAAGAGTGTGCCTTTTGCATTTTATAAACAGCAAGGAGAACCCAGGGACAATGGCACATGCCTAAAATCTCAGCACTTGGGAGGCTGAAACAAGGAGATCTCTTTGAGTCAGAGGCCAGCCTGAGCAACATAGCAAGGCCCTGTCTCAAAAACAAATCAAAACAAACAAATTTTTAAAATCACAAAACAAAACAAAAGAGCTGCAAAGAGGCCAGCATGTTCGGGGCTGTCAGAGGGAGCACAGGATAAAGTAGGAGATGAAGTGCAGAAGAAAGAGAGATCAAGTCACATGCGCCTCATGAACCATTGCCAGAACTTACAATCTACCAGCTGGAACAGAAGTTCCTGTGAGCTCACAGGGCCTGTCCACTTTCATCTCTGCACTCCCAGTATCTGGCACATTATCTGCACCTAACAAATGCCTGTTTCATGAATCATTGGAAGCGAAGCACACTTGTTATGGTGCCCCAGCACACATGTCAGGGCTGAGTCCTTACCGCGGGACCCTATTCCCTTTCCCACGCCCCCTCCCACCAATACCACCCTGCAAGAGTCTCTGATGCAGTGAAAGATTGATGCAGTCACCACCCAAAGGTGGCTCCCTCAGCCGCTTTGCAGGACTACACCACAAGGCTCCAGAAACCATTTTATACCAAATCCTTGGAGAAAAGGGCTGGAGATGCCAGTCAGTGTGACCACATTCAATAAGTCACCAGTCAATTGGTCCTCAGGACTCACAGCCCTGACCCCACCTTTGTGGCTCAACATCAGCACCCATTCACAGAGCATTAAGATTTCCTCAGGAGGAAATTCCTGCACGGGGTTGAAGCATGCACACCCCACACTAATAAGCAAGGAGGAGGGGTGTACTCATTCTCTCGTCTTTGCTGCTGTTGTTATTGTGGTTTGTTTTGTTTCTTTGGGTTTTGAGAAAAGGTCTCACTACATAATCCAAATTGGTCTGGAGTTTGCAATCCTCCTGCTTCAGCCTCTAGAGCACTGAGATTACACTCATGCGCTGTCACACCTATCTCATTCTATTTTCAACTGAAACAGTGCAAAGCATACTAAATTTGTCCTAGGGCCTCATCCTGTAAGCCAACAACTGAAAGAAGAAAGGAATTGTTAGGGCTTGGCTCCCCTGCCGCTCCCCTCACCGCCATGTGCCTGGCAGGGCCCTACTTAACTGTGTGCGACCAGGGCTCAATCCAGGACAGGATATTCTTTTTTAAAAAGATTTTTTAAATTAAATTTATTTTTAACAGATACATAAATTTCTACGTATTAGTAGGGTACCAAGTGATCTTTGAATACATGCATATATTCTATAATGTTCCAGACAGGTTAGACATATCTCTCCTTAAACATTCATCACCTCCCCATGGTGAAAACATTCAAAATTCTCTCTTCTAGCTTTTGGAAATGCGTAGTACATTACTGTTATCTATAGTCACCCTACAGTGTAATAGCACAGCTGAGCTCCTTAATCCCACCCAACTGTGGCTTAATACCCAGTGATCAACACCTGTCATCCTTTCCCTGCTCCATGCTCCCAGCCTCTGGCAAGAAGATTTCTGCCAGGAAAAATCAGAGTGGCCTGTCTGAGCACCAGGGCTGTTATACCTGGGAATTGGCTAGGACTAAACTAGGAATCTGGTAATGAAACTTTGCAAATGCTTTTCAAATTATCAGTCTCCACCGAAATTTATATTTGACTCTCAGGTGCACTGACCTCTTCCCCTCTCCACGTTTACTGAAAGTGCATTTGCATGCTCCCCGGGGACTCCCTCCTGGGCAGCTGCCACCTCACAAGACTAAGAAAAGGCCAGCACCTGCAAGCCCCACCAGGTCAAGGCATGTGAGCCCAGTCACAAGAGGACAAATGGAAACGAGGAGAAAAACGCTCAGAAAAGTAAACAGTTTGTGGCAGACATTACTCAGAGGTCAGCAAGGGCCATTATGCTCCTTAAAATATCTGTTTGGCTCAAATTCCCATTGTACGTCCTAGGAAAAAATCCAAATGCCAACCTTGAAGTTTCTGTGAATTGCAAGAGAACCTATATTCTTTTCACACCTCTGGCTCCAATTTCCTGCCCTCACTGAATTCTTATTCTCTGCTTGCCATAATTCTGCACCTTCTTCACCCAGCCCTCTCCTCTCGCCTAAAAGCAATCATTTTTACAAGCGTTGCACGTTAGCAGAATTTTTATCGATGGTTTGTAGGTCATGAGGGATGGGTTACATTTTCTCGCCACACGGCACACAACCTAACATCTGATACTAGCTGTCCCATTTCTTGAACATCCTCTGGGGATTCCTCACTGGCCATGCCTTGCTATGGAACAAGCTGACTCCTCTCCCCCAGGAATTCTTCCCGCTTCTCTCTCACAGCAGGATATCTCTCTCCCCTGCTCTGCATATCTGAAGCCTACCTCGGTCTGCTGTGGAAGTAGAATGCTTTGGGTCCTTTAGAAGCACCAGCTTTCAAAGACAGCTCCTTTAAATGGTGCCCTTTTCCTTTGTTTCACCACCATTATTATAACTTTAATTCATTCCAGAGCAGAAGACTCATTGCGCTTTATAAGCTCACTTCCTGATGTGTAGCATCCTCTGCCCTGTGTCCTCTGAGCTGTAAGCTTCTGAATATATTCATGTTTAATTCATTGAATACCCTTACCGCACCTACCTACCCCCCAAAACAGCATCACAGCTGCATCTTACAAGTAATCCCAAGACATCACGGCTGCCTAAATGGTGTAAATGCCCCTACCACCAAGTGGTCTAAGCCCAGGAGGCTTAACCCGGGGTCATGGAAGCCCTAAGGAAGTTAGTATGACTGCAACATATCTGGGGAACTCCTAAAACTTTATGTATCTGTATGCCTTTTGCTAAGAAGGCTTATAGCTCCAATACAATATTAACAGTCATCTCCAACCCTTGCTCCACCCAGAAAGGTTGTAAGCACTATTTGGTAGCCAGGGAACAGAACCACTCTGAGCTCTGTATGAACATTACAGCCCAGGGTGGCAAGGTAGCCTTAAACCAGGTCATTGTTTAATTGGCAATTTGGGAAATAGAAGAAATCATTATGAAAAGATTTAAATATTCAAAAATACCTGCTATGGGAGTTGAGAAAACCAACAGGGGTTAAGAGCAAGGAAAATAAAGACATGAAATCTTTTTTTAAGAGAGTTTCTAAAAATGTGATTCAATAAGGTAATGCCTACAAGCTAATATCTTTCCCCAGACATCAAAAAAGTAATTCAGAAACAGAGATTTTTTACTCCTATATTTCACATTCTGAAGAGTCTGGCTTTATAATTTTAAAATATTAACCATAAAAACAAAGATGAATCAGATACATAGATTTATTGTATGCACTCGCGAAGGACTTAGCTCATATAAAACAACTGTAACAAATGAACCCAAAGTTAAGGATGGATGGAAGCCCAGAGCCAATTAAAACTAAATGGGAAAGAGATTTGAGTCTGAAAATTGAAGATAAGAGTTGGCAATTATCCTGTCATCTATCCAAACACACAACTGCGACTGCTCTGGATAACTTGATGTATTTTTAATTATCATATCAAGCATTTGACTTTAGTTAGAAAAATGAAATAGACCATTAAAAAATTCAACACTTTCCCCAATTATTTAGAAGCAGAAATATCCCTCTCTGCCCACAGCATTTCTACCCAAAAACACAGTGGTGCAGAGCCATTAAAATTGTATCATAAATTATAAAGAAAGAACACTCACTATCTCCTGATCTGTGTTTACCTCATATTAATTCTCAATTGAATGTGGAAATGTTTAGTTTTGCTTCATTTACATTGTTAATGGTTTTACACTAGATTACAAGAAAACAGAGGAGAGAAAAAGCTCTTAAAATATGGTATGTAATTCATCCAATGGAAGACAACACTACCTGCAGGCTCTAGGCAAGAAGGTCCCTGCCCAGGACCTATGTGCTAAAAAGCATCCTGTTTCTCACACAGACACACAAGTACGCTTGTGGAAGAACATATGAACATCTCTGTCGCTTGGGGTCTGCTGCTCAGTGCTGACAACTTCCAGCCACTTTTGTTTCTAAACCAGGCGCTGGGGAAACACTTCACATCTTTCCCCATATCCTTAAAACAGACAGCAGTGGCATCTACATGCCAGGAAGGTTTGTTTGTGGGTTTTGTCCTACAGACACTTCGCCACTGGGAAAGGCTGAGCAACAGAAGCACTTAGGTATAAGAGCAAAGACAAATTAACTTGTCAAATCCTTCCTCTCAGCATAATGCAGTGCCTCTTGCATGCTAAATGATTGTTTCCTAAAAAAGGCTAGATGTCTATTTTCTTTCTTCTCTTTATATTCTAATTTGAGGTCCCAGTAATATTCACAAATTAGCATAGTATTTGTAATAGATGCAAGGAGCAGCTGAGGAACATTTTACAATATTACACAAATCGTATTACCCTTAAGTTTATGCAATGAGTGAACCATGAGACTAATATTTCTTTTGGTAACTAGAATAGTATTGAACATTAAAACTATAAAAATTTACTTTTATAAAAGTGCTTAAAATATGTAATTAAATTTTAAAATAAATTAAAAGTCAGCTTTGTACAAAACTTTTATTTAAAATATTTGCATTCAATGCTTCAGCTTTAAGGAAGATGGAGTACATGTACTTAGACTTGTGTATTCTTCCCACTAAGTATAGCAAAAAGCCCAGAGAATCATATGTAAAATAAGAACAAGAGAACACTGAAAGGCAGACTTGTTAGAGAACTCAAAACCCAGTGAGACTGATGAGTTCCCTGAGTTTTCCTTGTGCCTAATGGATCCCAGGCTGGAACAGAACAAGCCAGTGATCCAGAAACAACAACAGGCATGGACAAAAAATAAAGTTCCTCTCTCTAGTCGAAGACCAGGAAAGGAGCATGTTAGCAAGAGAGGAAACTTTTCATACAGTAACCACTCTACTCCTGCCAAATGCCACAGAACAAAACAGGAATCCCACTCCCACCCACAGCAGGAAAGGCCAAGTGAGACCCTGGCTCTCTCCCTTGAGGAACTGTGATGAGGTGCCCAGCACACCTACTGGAGTGGTGTCAGACAAGATCAAGTAGGAAGACTGGACTTTCAGCCTAGCTGGTCCACAATGAGCCTTCCACATCACCCCTCACCGGGGTGTGCACGAAGATTGCATTGTAGGCCTAGACTCCCACTTCCATCCAGCAGCAACAAGGAGCCTCTCTCCCTCTGCTCTGGGGTAGAGGCCTAGTGGAAGGTGGACTGTCACATGAGCCAGCAATAACAGACCACCTTTCCTGCAAAGTCAGTGAAGACCACACACGAAGCTGAGCCCCACTTCCACTTGTCAGTTATGAGGAGCAGCTCACTCAAAGTCAGCTGTCAGCAAGAGGACAAGCGAGAGGCCTGGACTTCTACCTCCACCATGGACAATGAAGTGGCACCTCCTCGCTCTACCACCATGGTACCAAAAAAGTACCAAAAGCCAAACATTCAAATAAAATACTGCATCTCAGAATGAAATATAAAAATGTTCAGGTTTCAACTGAGATCACTTATTATATCAACAAGCACGAAGCTCTCAGACTAAATGAAAACAATGAGTAGATGCCCACACAGAGATGAAGGAGCGATTAGAATGGCCTGATGAAGATTTTGAAGCAGCCATGCTAAAAGTGGTTCAAAGGGGAATTATGGGCACACATAAAACAAATAAATACATAGAAAGTCTCATAAAGCAAGAAACAAGACAGAGTCAAACAGAAATTATATAACTGGAAATACAATATTGAAAATAAAAAGCTCAGCATATGAATGTTGTAGTCAGGTTTTGCAAGGGAATAGATTTAATAGAGGACATATAATTCATAGGGTTACTTTATAATATTCACCCAAAAAGTCAAATGCAGAAGAGTACAGGAAATCTGTCCAATCAAAGACCCAGAGAATCCAGCTGAGGGCCTGGATCCAACGATGATGTCCTGCACGAGTCCAGCAGAAGACCTAGAGCCCATGGCAATATCCTCCATGAGTCCAGCTGGAGCCTTGGAGCCCACAACAATGTTTCAGGCAAGTCTGCATCAAAGATCTGCACTGGGAAGGCCCAAAAGTCAGTGGTGAAAGCTAGAAAGTCTGAGCCAGCAGGATGAAGGATCTGTGCCAACAGGCTGAGGGATCTGCACTGGAGCCAGCAAGCGATGCTTAAGGTAAGGACCAAAGCTGCCCTGAAAAGAACCACAGCCATTCTCAGTGACAGCGAGGACCCAAGCTCCTCCAGTGATGAGAACAGCTGACTTCATATCAGGAAAACCAGCATGACAAGCTTCTCCAGGAGAATCAACAGCACACTATCTTCCCCTCCTGTTCTCCTTTCATGCTGTTGGCAATAGTCCTCAGGTGGGCATTCCACACCCAGAACCATGATGATTCAGTTCAGCTGGGTGTTACAAGCTGACCATTAGGTAGTCCACCACAATGGGCTAAACAGTGCACAGAAATATAGAATAGGAATTATCCAATCTGAACAACACCTGTAGAGCTAGAACAAAATGTTCTTATCAATGGCATTGGAGTGGAAGAAGAAGGTAGAGCTTAGGAAGTACTCCAAAAATAATGACTGGCATTTTCCTAAATTTGGCAAAAGACATAAACCCACAGATTAAAAAAGCTGAACAATCCCCAAACAGGATATAACCAAAGGAGTCTATTTTAAGTCACATAATAGTTAAGCTTCTGAAAACTAAAAACAAAGAAAAAGTCTTGAAAGAAGCCAGAAAAAAAATGGTGCATAAAATAGAGTAATCTTTTATTAAATTTCTAAATTATACTTGATGGGTTGAAGCAAAAGTTGTAACACTCTCTGATAATTACTCTAAATGTACATAAGGGAAATATTTAAGACAATTGTGTACTAAGTAGGGAACAGTAAAAGGATATAAGGGAGTTGAGGTATCTATCTTTCACTTTACCTTTACAACACCAATAAACTTTAGTAAGTTGGGTAAATAGTGGTTCCTCCTTATGCACAAGGTATACAATACATTCCTTACTGGATACCTGAAACTGCACATAGTACAGAATCCTATTTGTATGTATCATGTTTATCCCTATGTGCACATTATGGTTCAGATCTACTACGCCCTCCAAATTCATTCTTTTAAAAGCTTGGTTGCTGTAGGCTTAGGACATGAGGGCTCTTTATCAGTGGAATAATAATCTATTGATGATATAATAATTTGATGGCTTTCTTTCAGATATGATGGAGATAGAAGGTGGGCTTAGCTGAAGGGAGTGGGTCATGGGGATATGACTTTGGTGAATATATCTGATCCTTGCCCACTTTCTCTCAGGTTCTTTGTTCTCCTTCTGCTTCCCGAACACTAGCAGGTGAGCAGCTTTCCTATGTCACACCCTTTTACCATGATATTTCTGCCTCACCATAGGCCTAAAAGCAATCTAGCAGGCTGACCACTGAAATCTGTGAAACTCTGAGCCAAAATAAATCTTTCCTCCTTTTAGGTTGATATTCGTAGGTATTTTGTCACCATGACAGAAAGCTGACTAATACAACATACATGCCTGTGATGAGTTTAATGTATAAATTCAGCCCAGTAAGAGATTAACAATGACAATAATAAAATAGAACAAATCATAAAGACATATTCTTAAAAACATTATGTAAATGTGCTTGCTCTCAAAATATCTCCTGGTACTGTACTCACCCTTTTTTCTGTGATGATATGGATAATATGGACACCATGACAGAGTGACGAAGAAGAAGTGAGGTGAATGACACAGGCACTGTGGTACAATGATAGGAAACTAATGACCTTCTACACATCAGAAGAAGGATAATCTGCTTCAAGTGATCCTGAATCACTGAGTTATGAGAATGTCAAAGGCTGTATGTCAAGAATAGACAACATCAACAGTTGGAGATGCTTGGAGGTTGGAGTCTCTTGCTGAAGCCTCTTGGAAGAATATGATAATGGGAAGATGTCTCCTTGAAACCCATCAAAGTGTTGCTGCAGAGATTGTAATACTTCAGTGCTTTAATGCTGCACCTTATGGGTGCTTTAATGCTGCACCTTATCCAAACGTTATATTCTATAATTTCGTCCTTTCAAATCTGTGCAATTCAAAACTCTTCAACAGATCTCATCCATGTTCACATGGCTACTTCTCTTTTTGGTTTCTTCTCCTGCTTCCTTTGTAGATGGTTCATTCAAGTTCTTGAATTCCTGATTTTTTAAAAAAATACTTCTTGATGGCTTTGAATGTATTCTTCCACTTCATCAACTATATTGGCAAGTCTGTCTCTACTAACTTGTCTGGCTCATGGATGACTTTCCTCACTTCTTTATCAATCCCTAGGAAGCCTTTAAAATCATTCATGACTTTAACATCGTAAATTCTCCAAGCAGGCATTTACAGATCTTGGTTTTAATTTACCTACTGTAGCTTTGATAAATGTTATTGTGTCAGCAATAGTGAATGATTTCTAGAACTGCATTACGTCTAGATTAGAGCCTGTACCAAATATGATAAATATCAGGCAGGTAGATGTGGCCTTGGCAAACTATATCATTCCCTGTACAAGGGACTGAAGTCATGAGGTTGTATTTGGATGTAAAAATACAACCTTGTCATTTTCACTTTCCTAGGAAACACACTGAGGATGGCCATGGGCATCGTCTATTGTTAGTAGGAATTTAAATTCCAACCCTCCCACTTCCAAGTATTTTTTCACTTCTGGAATGAAGCACTGGCAGAATCATTCTATAAACAAGATGTTTCAACCTTAATCTTTTATTATTTTGCCAGAACATGGACAAATAAATTTGTTTTAGAAAGCGTATAGGTTCTATGCCTTGTATATTATAGGCTTTATCACATCCAGTAGCATTGACACATAGTGCCAAAGTTAATCTGTCCCACCACATTTTATGACCTGGGGCCTCCTTTGTACTTTTAGGAATATGGATTTTACTGAGTATCTTCTTCCAGAGGAGAACAGTTTCATCACAATTGGAGACTGCCATTGGATGGCATCTTTTCTCCTTAATCAATTTCAACTCTGCCAGAAATTCAACAGCAACTTCTTCATGGGCCAAAGCAACTTTTCCAATGTTTAAAATTTTTTAGCCCAACCTATTCCTGAGTCTGTGCAAGCACCTTTTACTTGCACTAAATGGGTTAGTGTCACTTATTTCAACAGATTCCTTGCTGAAGTCTTTATAAAGGTTCTATGCTTTCTGGTGCAAAATGTCAACATCAACTGGAACGTGTTTTATGTTCACATTTCCTACGCACAAATTTTGCCCGTTTTCTACCTTAACTGCACACTTACCATGCACTTTGGCCATAACTTGTATAGTTTAAGGTATGAAAGAACAACTAGCAGAAATTTATTCCCCTCAACCCCTGCACCTCTAGTCATGATTACCAAGTGTTCCTCCATGGTGATGACTGTCTGGCCAGAGGGAGAAAGCAGAGTGTGACCCAGAGCCCTTCAGTCTTGTGGGACCAGCTGGTAAGATGGGTCTGACCCCTGGGACCTTCATCTCAGGGGGCAGTTTGACTTCTAGTGGTCACCTTTGTAATCAGGACATGGCTCAGGGGGCCTTTTGTCTTGACAGTTCTTATTACAGTCTCTCTTAAGGTGGCTTGGCTTTTTGCAGTGGTAGAAGATGAGTTTAGCTGTCAAACACCTCTTAGAGCCCCAAGAATCAGACTTAGAGTTTATTTCTTTTAAGGCCACAACAAAGGCAGCCATTTTCTCTTGGCCTCTTTGTTTTTTACCCTTGGTTTCTTCCTGTTCTCAATTATACAATACTGAGGAGGCAATTCTCACTAAAGTATCAAGTGAGCTAAGCAAAAGCCATCTTTTGTATCTTTTTTTAAATATCTGAGGCTGACTCAGTGATAAACTTGTCTTTAAGAATAATCTGGCCTACTGAATCAGAAGCCATGAAAGTATGTTTCATCAGTGCCTCTTATAAATGATCTAAGGAGGCAGAGGAGTCCTTATCTTCTCCTGATGAGTAGCTGACAATTCAAAATAATTGCTCTCATCCTTTTTAGACCTTTAATGATATATGTCTAGAGATGTTTCCTATTTTAATCCCCCATCTGGTTGGTAGACCAGCAAGGATCTTGTGTAGGGACTGCTTAGGTGCTAGTGGAAACTGGCTAGTCCCCTGGCTGCCCATCTTCTGGCCTTTTAGAATTAACAATATGATATTCACCTTCAACTGTAATAGCAGTTTGTAGTGCTGCTTGTTTCTCATTAAAAGTCCATGTTTGATTTAAAAGTAACATATCCTTGTTCATAGGCCCATGTAAGTTCCCTAAAGACTAGTCATCTCAAATCTTATTTGATCTATTTGAGGTCACTGAGAGAAAATGAAACACGCACGTGGGTAGGTCCAAATTCTCTACCCACCTCCTGTAAGGGACACTGTCCTTGAGGAGCTTCAACAAAATCAGATGGGGATGGATATAGCCCAGTAGAGGCTTCAGTTAAGGATGGCTTCAAAGCTTCACCCTTAGAAACTAGAGGGCAAGTAAGGGGAACCTCAGGCTCAGAAGTACTGAATGGGTCTTTGATTAAGGTTGGCTTGGAAACCTCATCCTTAGGATCTGAAGGGCAAGTGAAAGAAACCTCAAGTTCAGTAATAATGAATGGAGCTTTAAGGTTGCCTTGGAAACCTTGTCTTTAGGATGTGAAGGGCAAGGGAGAAAAACCTCAAGCTCAGTAATAGTAGATGCATCTGATTTTGCCTCAATGGCCAGCGGTGTCTTGTTTTCCTGTAGCTTATATTTACATTTTGAACACAAGTAAGGATTATCTCTTAATGCAAAGAAAGTCAGAACTTAAGGTGATTTTGACCATTTTCCCTCTTTCTTACAGTACAATTCTAGTTGAAAATAGGATCATAATCAATACTTCTTTCTGTATTTTATTTTGCTTCTAGGGAGTAGGCAGACCATGTGCAGGTGAAGAAAAATATTAAACAGCTCTTCCTTAATATATGAGGGTCGAACAGTTTCCAGTGTTTAGCAATACATTCTAAAGGAGTAAGAAAATTTAATATTGAGCTTGTCATCTGCAAAACAAGGGGAAAATAGACATCTCTTTTAATCCCTACTTGGTTTCTATAGCTTCTCAAGGCATCCCCTGAGGTGACCTGTTCCAGAGCAGGTGGCTGCTATCTGGAAAGAGACCAGAAGATAGGTTGGGTTCAACTAGCCACCCTTACAAGTGCACACCCCTACTTTCTCTGTAAACTCACACTCCTAACTCCAGCATGTGTTTTCAAAAGCACAAGCTACAATTGATCCCAGCTATAACAGTCATGTTTAAAGAAGGAAACATTGCTAGCAAAATAATCAAGAGACTGGAACAAGTGCTTTCTAATTCTTTGAAAGAGAGGGAAGGGGGGAAAATATCAAAAGGCAAATTGGAAGTTGTTGAAGCACTTCCCAGTCTGCAAAAAAGACCACCTCCAGAGACAGATAGAGGCAAGTAATGGCTCAGAAAAATCTTGCCTTGGACCTGACAGCAAAGAAGTCCCCAAGATATTTGTGCTGTCTACTTAATCATCTAGGCAGGGGCTGGGGATTTAGCTCAGCGGCAAAAGCGCCTGCTTGGCAAGTCGTGAGTTTGGTTCCCGGTACCGGAGAAAAACCAAAAAAAAAAAAAAAAAAAAAAAAATCATCTAGGCAATCTTTCCTAGCAGCAAGACAAGGTGAAGTTTTGCTCAAAACCTGCTCTAAAATTTCTATGTCTCTATATTTGTATCACATTTATGAAGCTTACAGCTTAAAACCTGTGTTCACCATCCAACAACTACAACCTACATATTAGCAAAAGCACTTCCCTTCCTTACACATGTAAATAATGAGAACCAGGCCTAGAAGGGGAGAGAGACAGCCAGGATGTTAGATGCTGCTTACCATGGAAGTATGGCAAGAGGATGAGGAAATATAGATAAGAGATGAAAGATGAGATCTGGTGGAGCCCTCTCTCTCCAGATGGGAGGAAAAGAAAACTGCTCAATCACCACAGGGGCATTTATTTATACATTTGACAAAGTTAGTATCATGTGACACAGGGTTGCTCATATGTCATTCCACTGTTTAGAAAATCTTGCCATAGCTCTCCAGGAATTTGGAGATCAAACTCCATAGCTTGCCAAACAAAGCCATTCTTGTTCCATGTCCTTGCCCTTCCTCCCAGATCACGCTTCACCCTGCACACCTTCACTCACTTCTCTCTCTGATTCTTGACCACTTGAAGTTCCTTAACACCTTGCTATTTCACATTCCTCTCCAGTTCACCCTAAAAGCATCACCCAAAAGGTATCTTTATATCATTCAGAATT